GGGCCACGGCAAGGCCGTCGTGGACCGCGTCATCCGGGTGGACCACGCCGGGGAGTACGGGGCGAACCGCATCTACGCGGGGCAGATGGCCGTCCTGGGCAGATCGAGCGCGGGGCCGGTGATCCAGGTCGGCGGTGTTCCTGGTTCCCCTGCCTCTGGGTCGCAGGGGTCGGGTGGAGCTGTCGCAGCGCGATAGCTGCCGCCGTGTTCTGACCGCGGTTAAACGCGTAGGGCCATGAAGAGTGGTGGGGTTGCTGGTGAAGGAGTTACCGGTGCTACAGTTGCTGTAGCGTTGTCACAAAGGCTCTTATTTTGCAAACGTTTTTATGTTGCTTATTCATAACTATCCCCATCTGCCCTGCTTCACCATTTCCTCCTTGTGATGGGAGTAGCGTTACCTCCGCAGCCAAACTGTGAATGGCCTGAGCTGGTTTGGGTTTCCTTGGAAATGTTTCATTTTTTTGGGTTGGTACCTTACTGTGATCTGATTCTTTTGCAGCAAATGTGGAATCAAGAAAAAGACCACCTGAAAAAGTTCAATGAACTAATGGTTGCGTACAGAGTTCGACCTACTGTTTTATTGCCTTTCTGGAATGTAGCAGGTTTTGTTTTAGGTGAGTTTGTGTTACGACTGTTATTGTTGCTTTGAGGAGTCTTCAGATGTGTAAATTATTTGTATTGCTTCAGAATTCATTGTTTGCATGTGTCTGGTACCACGATCACAGGGGCTGGAACGGCTTTACTTGGAAAGAAAGGGGCGATGGCTTGCACAGTGGCAGTGGAAGAGAGTATATCGGATCACTACAACAGCCAGATCAGAACGCTTATGGAAGAAGATCCAGAAAAGTACAAAGAACTATTGCAGGTATTTAACTGTGCCTTAAAAAGTAGTTTCATGTATTCATTGAGCTATCTTAACGTGACTTTAGTCTTTTAAAATAATATGCTGATAGAATTTACAGTAGATCTCTTTTTCTTCTATTACTGAGAGTGCTGAAGTCAACAGAAACTTTGTCTTAAGTAAAAGGACGTTTTTTGCTTCAGCAGCACTAGATTGATCAAGCACCAAAACTACAATGTTTGTTGGGTTAGCTTCAGCATGCTTTCAGTAATTCAGCATTTCCCTTTTGATTGCGAGAACTATGCTTTTGTTTTGATTACTTTTAATTGAAAGAAAGGGTTTAGAGGGGGTTCAAAAGGGGAAAATATGATTGCATGGTAACATTTTGCTTATACTGGATGTGATTATATAGTTAGAATAGAATAGACTATTTCAGTTGGAAGGGACCTACAGTGACCATCTGCTGCAACTGCCTGACCAACTCATGGCTGACCAAAAGTTCCACCATCTTAAAGGCATTGTCCAAATGCCTCTTAAACACTGACAGGCTCAGGGCTTCGACCCCCTCACTAGGAAGCCAGTTCCAGTGTTGGACCACCCTCGTGGTAAAGAAATGCTCCTAATGTCTAGTCTAAACCTCCCCTGATGCAGCTGTGAACCGTCCCCATGCGTCCTATCACTGGACACCGGGGAGAAGAGCTCGGCACCTCCTGCTCCATGTCCCCTCCTCAGGAAGCTGTAGAAAGCAATGAGGCTGCCCCTCAGCCTCCTTTTCTCCAAACTAGATGAGCCCAAAGTCCTTTCACCAGCTTTGTTGCCCTCCTCTGGTCGCATTCAAGGACCTTCACATCATCCTTAAATTGCGGCGCCCAGACCTGTGCACAGTATTGGAGGTGAGGCTGCCCCACCGCTGAGCACAGCCGGGCGATCCCCTCTCTTGCCGGCTGGTGGTGCTGTGTGTGATGCACCCTGGGGTGGGGTCTGCTCTCTGGGCTGCCAGGGCACACGGCTGGCTCCTGCTGACCCTGCTGCCGACCGGCACCCTGCTCAAGTTCTAGTCTTGAATACTGTTCTGACCTGTTTCCACACGCAGCACGTCGAGCTCGTTAGTGCTCTGATTGGTGGGAGCTTGCTTTAGGGTCTGCGTGTTCATTGCCAGTGTTGCTGACTCTCACTATGTTCCCTTGTGCTGAGTTTAACATGTAGCCAAGTCTGGTTGCTCCAAACCTGTCATGTTGTTACAGAAGCAGCGTCTGAAGTAAGTTGTACTGACATGCAGAAGGGAAATACTACCCCTGAAAATAAAGACTATAAACTGAGAGGATACAAAATAAAAGAGAAAAAGCTAAGCAGCATGGTTATTCACAGCGTCACACTAGCAATGAAATGAAAAGCGACGCATACTTGTTGGGTAGGGACAGTGCTTGGGTGTCTGTAAATACCGAGCACTTCATTAAGCAATCCTAGTTATCTGCAGGCATCTCAAGAAAAAACTCTTTAAACCTTTTCGTCCCAGTTGAAAAATTAGAAAAGTTCTTTAGAATGTTTAGAGTGTTCTTTAGAGTGTGCTGGAATGGACAAAAGCCCTGTTGGCTTACAGGGAAACACGCTTACTGATTACCTGCCAAAGCAGAGACATTAATTTCATTCTTTAATTTAAATAATTTGTAGGTGTGAAACTAATTAGTGTTATGAATTACTGTGACTATAGGTTTTCTTGAAACAGTGAAAAAGATAGTGATATATTTAATAGCAGCTTAGTTTTTAAGTATGTTTTTTTGAATATTAAAAGAACTTGAGGCTTGGGGAATGCTGTAAATATTCCCTTCTTGCTGAATTAGAGATTCAGGTCTTTGAGAAGTTTTTGAGAGACCTGGGCCCCAGATGCCTGCCCTGGTACATGCAATGGTCAACAGCGTATAGTTTTGTCTACTAGCTGTCTTGATTTCTCTGCAATGTAGACTTACTAATTAACTGCTATTTTTAAAGATCATAAAGCAATTTCGGGACGATGAACGGGAGCACCATGACATTGGGCTTGAGCACGGTGCAGAAGCGGTAAGTACAACGTCAACTAATTGGCACTGTTAGTGAGGATGTAGATGTGATATTCTTATCTTCCTTAGCTAGTAGTTCTTTATTTGAGAAATGGAAAATAAGGCACTTGATATTCTTTCCCAAATATTAATATAAGAAAACACTGCATATTACAGCTTTCGTGATTCTAGAACAGAATTGAATCTGCTGGAACTCATGTCAAGTGTTAAAGTGATTGTGTTTTCGTGAGAGGTGTCCTCTGCACAGTTTTTAATTTTATGTTAAGATTAAATATTTTTGAAGATAAGGCTAATAGGTGCTATCCATACAGCTGGAAACCTGAGGCATCACCTTGTAGATGAACACAATCATGTTAGGAAGTGTGAAATACAAATTCTGTGCTCCCTTGAGTACCAGATGAGGAGTGTGTGACTTCTCTCCTTTTTTTCCTCTTGACTTACATTTGTGGAGAAATAGAAACATTCTGCAAAGTTGATCAATCTTACTTTAATTTTCTCTAGGGTAGAACTACAAATACAGATGGTTTTGGTGGGGTTTTTTTGGTTTGTATTTTTGATTTGTTTTGGTTTTGGTTTTTTTAGATAATGGTTACTATTCCTTACTGCAGTCTCGTTCAAATAAAACACTTCATTAGATGTATTTAATCTTTTATTCTTTCTTTTACAGGCACCAGCGTATTCAATTTTGAAGACAGCTATACAACTTGGATGCAAAGCTGCAATATTTTTATCAGAAAGAATTTAGTGATGTTTTCCGTAACGTTTGTGGCAATGAACTCTGACATAAAAGTATATGGAAGTTGTGGAAGACTAATGGTTATTGTATTCAGGCTTTTGAAATTTTCTTCACTAAGCATCTGGTTCAGCCATCCTTTGTCACATTGAGTACACGTTCAAAAAGTATCTATACTGAAGTGTCTGTATTAAAGTCAGTTGAGCTAAATATGAATAAAGATGGCAGAATTGGGTCTGTTTGAACAAAACCTCCTTATTCAGAGACTTTTCACAAGGTGGCAGCAAAATATGTATGTATATACATGATTTATATATATAATATGTGTATGTATACACACACATAAAAATGATAAATATGTTCTCTGTTGCCTTCAAATTTTTATGTACTTGAAATAAGCTGGAGCTCATCAGCTCATTTTAAAATGGTTAATACTGACTAAGTAGGATATTTTTGAGTTCTGTTTTCAGGGTAAGTAAATAAAGTACTAGTAAGTATTTCTCTTCAGTCTGTCCTGAATAAAGGTTGGTATTATAAGACTCTCATTTGAAGACTTGTTTGTGGGGCTTGGTTTTTTTGCAGGCTCTATTCTGAATTCTTTATTTAAGTAGACTTTTTATTCCTTTGGGTTTTTTGTTGTTGTTTTGTTGTGTGGTTGGTTGGTTGGTTGGTTGGTTTTTTTTGTCCTGAGTGTGTGTGTAAGGAATTGATCCCTGATGTAAGGCAGGTGGAGAGACCAACTTGGAGCATCTGTGGAATTGCACTTAGTATTCTGTTAGAGCTTTCGAGTTTGTCTTACTTTGCTTCTAGTCTTCGGTGGCTCTTCAACAGAGACGCTCTTGATTTCTCCATGTTCAGCCAATTTCCCTACACTTTCTGCTGGCATCCTGGCATGTTGCCATAGAAATAAAAAAGACAAAAGTTGTGCATGTCTATTCTGTTAAATGCTGATTGACGATGATAAAAGTACAGTGATGGAATTAGAGGGTCTTAAACTGGTAGGGATGAAAGGGTCTTTATGCGAGATTGCATCTCATGTTCTTTATGACTTAAGAACATCCTGACCATTCTATTGCTATTGCGTCATTATGGAAATAATGGAAATATGGAAAGAGGATAACTTTCCGAATGCAGTTAAAGTCCCTGTGAGAGGCTTGCATTTTTACAGCTGAGAAGCGTGACTTGTTGACTATGTGTGGTGAGGGAGGGAAACCCAATGAATAAAATTGTAGGTCACATAGAAATCACATATCCATGCTTCTAAAGCTTTGGGGAGATGCAGCTTGTTTAACTGCCATAAACTAATGTTTTTTTCCGAATTTTACAAGTTTTCCAATTTCTACAGGTTTGTGGGTTTTGTTTTGTCTGGTTGGGTTTTTTTCTTAATAAGAATAGCTCAGCTTGACAGATCAGGGAGCAGAGTTTCTTGCATCTTATTTCCTGGTTAAAAGCTATAATGTATTAGGAGTCAGTACTTCTTAGCCCGAACAATGGGGTGTACCCAATTGAACAGGTCAGTGATGGATGTGGGATGTAATGGGTATAAGCATAGTTGAAAAGGAAAGAATTTGAAATCAAGAAAGAAAACAGTGAGCGTTGGCCATTAATGTCATAAGGAATGGAGCCACCATTGACAGTCTTGACTTTTGCCTTATATGGCAAAACTACAGAGTTATACTGAGGCCAGTTAAGTAATTTGGTGAAGTTTTGCTGTTTCCAGCTCTGTTGTGCTGGCCAAATGCTGTGTACTGACTTTGTAGCTGCTCTGAGACCAGAGGAGGATAAGAAGCGCGGAGTTGCCAGCAGGAGCCCAAACTTGTGGGAGCGTCTTGGAGCATCTCAAATCCAGGCATCTGGGAGCTTGGTGAGGCGTCAGGCAGCATTTAATCCAGGTATGTCTGAGTCTGCCTTTCTGAGTAGCTGTTTAGTGTTTGTAGGTACTGAGTGGTGTGTAATTTGACATGAAACATTACTTAGGATTATTTTCACCTTTTTTTGTGAAGGAGCTTAGACTGAAAATTAAAATGTAGACTCTCCTGTTCTGTATGATTTTTGATGACCGACACTTTGTACATTCTTTAAGAATAATTTCTGTCATGCACCATTGCAAGAGTGGCCTGGTTATATGAAAACTACTAATGTTGATTACCTTGTCCAAACAAAGTAGCATTTGGTTCTCTATCACTGGTTTGCAGTACACCCACTGGAACAGCTTGACTCGAGGAACTAAAAACCAAATCACAGATTTCTCAGGGACTGCGTAAAAACAAGATAGCTCCAAGGCATTCTCATTTTACGTGCCTCAGCCCCAGACAGTTGTGAGCAGCCTGCATGTAAACTGGAGTTTACTAAAGGTACGTCATATTAGACTAACAGTATCTTCCCCAGCTTGACCAATTCTTGGAACATAAGTTACATCTAGCAGATTTCTTGCCTTTGTTTCTCTAAAGCATTCAACATCCTAGGTAGGCTGAAGATGAGAGGAAGTGGCACAAAAGAATGGTTAATTAAGGTGGCTACAGGGGTGACAAGCAGTGTTGAAAGAACATGCAGTTCTGTTGTGTAAGTCATGCACTTTGATAATCGGGTAAAAAGAGAGAGAAAGATTGCTTAATGAGTAGTCCATTGCAAAGCCTTTAACAACGGGGGCAGCATGGGACACAGCTTTTGTAAGTCCATGGTTAGGCCTGGGGAGGGGGAGGCACAGTATGTTTTGACTCAAGGCTGGAAGTTGCACACCCACGCACATGATGGTCTTGTGATGTAAACTGGAAACCGAGCCAGACCAGTTTCCTGGTCGCTTGGCTGTTACATCGGGATTGAATACTGGACAAGGCATCCGCGGGGCTTTCCTAGACAGACGATGCTCAGCTGGAGCCTGGTGTTCTCCAAGGCAGTGGTGACAGAGGGATTCACTGAAGATGTCTGCAGTGGTGGTCAACAGTTGTGGGATTTGCTGCTGATACAGAGAAGTGTTCATGTGATCCTGTGTCCAAGATGTGGGTGGCCTCTGAGACCATCACACACTGCTCACTTGGGGCAACAACATTTAAGAGACCAATCCCATTTTTAATGCATTTAGTTTGGCCAAAGGCTGGGAGCATCAAATACTGGGAGATCACTGTATGAGGTCAGTGTATTTGGCCATATCTGCAGCAACTGAAAGCGCCCACAGCAAGTTCTTTGTCCTCAGCAGCTGAAAACATCCTGCACATTTGAGAAGGCCATCAGGCAGTAATGCTGTCTTTAGCTGCGAGCATAAAATATGAGTCAGGAGAACAACTCTGCTTTATGCTCCCGAGCAGGATTTGTTCCTTCTTTTTACTGGAGCAGCATATTTGTGCCCATCCATTAAAGTGTGGGTGAGCTGTTCTTCTGCCACCTCCAGTGGCTGTGCATTTCCTTGCTCACTGGCGGTTACTCTTTTTTTGTTGTTTTACATAGAAAATGGAGTTGCTTTTAATTTTCCTCATGCAGAAAGGACATTTTTTTTTGGTTTAAAAACCTGTTTCAGATTGTGAAAGACTGCAGAAGGTGGTATAAGGTTACAAAAGGGCTAGAGATACTCAAGTGGTGTATGGAACTTCTACTGTACAGCTGCTGCAAGGCTGTGGTTTCTTTTTATGTGTTGTTTTGAGACAGAACTAAAGCAGACTAATGTCAGCCATCCCAGCAGGGGTTAATGGCAGGCGGAGGCCAAAGTATATAGCTTATACAAGTCTGTTATCATAGCGCTTCTGGATGAACTCTGGTCGTGTTGACAGAGGAAAGGGAACTTCGATCAGACAGAGAGGCTGTGAAATGCTGCATTTTCAAAACAGGGTGTGAGGAAGATGATGGGGTCTTCACTGTGCCGTTGGGTTTTGGGACTGTCTTCTGAATCTGAAGATAAGCAAGGTCTCGTAATATGCCATGGGATGAAATCCTTGCCCTCAAAGACATGAGGGTGTCTTCTATCTCCTGTGATAACCAAGGGCTTGATCGTGATTTTCTCCTCCAGAAGGAGAGTTCGTTCCATTTTTCGGTGGTGAGGAGCAGAGGGTATCCACCCGTCTGTGCACAGGGGGCATAGGGCTGTCAGCTGCTCCCTGATGAGGGCCTCACCTCTTGCTGTTTTCTCCTGCGATCGCTGCAGGGGACAATCTGGCCCCTGTTCTCTGAAGCTGCTCCGAATTGGAGATTAAGGTAATGACAGTGCTTGGAGTGACACAGCCAGGCGGTGCCGTCCTTGTGCTGAGCATTCGGGGCGTTTGCTGACGCTCTGACAGCTCTGAAGCAGGATCTCCGCATTTGCAGGCACCTCTGCCAGCTCAGGAGGAGAAAAACCTGCCAAAGGAAAGCAAACAGGCAAGGCAGCTCTGTCTCACAAAGCGAGGAGGACGGTTATGAAAATTCAAAGCAGCTCTGAAGATCTGTGGCCCATCTGTAACAACTCTAGAAAGCTACCAGAGTGGCAAAGCACCCGTGATGCCAGTGGTGCAGGTCTGGCTGTGCCAGTGCATGTTTCAGCCTCTGGCTGCCACAGCTAGCGTAGGCAAAAATCAAATCCCCATGGCTGCGATTAATGTGGTGCTGCTGACATAAGCCATGAGTTCTGTAAAATGGGGCTCATAAGATTGTTTGGCAAAGAGCTAAGTCATTATCTGAGATGACAAATATTAGAGATAGAAATATCAGATATAATGGGCTTGATAGAAGAAATATCAGATATAATGGGTTTGATCTTTGTCTGGAGTAAATCTGTGTGGCTCACTTGGCCATAATAGAGCTAGGCTTGGTACAGATCAACTGAGGATATGCCATACAATTCCTGTGATGGGGGTGATGTGGATTGTACATCCCTTTTTTAATATTTAAGGGGTTATTAAATCTATGCAGTCCCTTGTGTCTGCCTCATTTCTTGACTTTAGGGAATATATAATTTCAAATAGGTGACAGTCATTTTTTGTCACTAGCTTCAAAGTTGTGGCATGTCACTTGCATTGAATTCAGCACATATTTTCAGCTTGGGG